GTGATTGGATGTTGAGTCACTAGAGGAAAGACGTGATCTCTTGTTATTATGTTACTCCTTGTGTTTATCTCGGTATTTATTATATTTTTTTGTTCATCTGGAACCAAGAAAATGTGACTCATTCAGAAGAATTGCGAGGTAAAAGTTGAATCACCAATACTTTCATTAATATGCGCGTAGTTTTTATAAAACAATGTCATTGAAATTCACCTGTACTACTATGGTTTGTGTCATGCAGTTCTAAATAATTTGATGATCATTATCATTCATATATAATTTGCGATATTTTTTGTGTACACATCGGTGTAATGTGTTGTGGAGACGTGTACTCATTACTAATAATATTTACTTAAAAACTAAGTATACAAGGTCTTCAGGAATATTTTTGTATTTTTAGGTTTCGAGAAATTTTCCGAATGTGATTTCAAACAAAAATATTGATAGGTGTGATTTAAAATACATATATCTAAAGACCCTTTGCATTATTAATAAAAGACAGTCAATAGACAAGTATGTTCCATATTTTTTGTAATAAATACATATATTGGCCACATTTAGAAAGGGACTATCTTGTCACTTATAAAGGGCGATTCATTAAGTACGTGAAAACAATTGAGCTGATGATTCCATGTAATATTTTATTTTATGAAAAAAGTTCCTGAAAACATATGCCTCGAAACATTTTGTTTCCAAGGTGTTGGAAAGTTCGTTTAAAAATCATGTTTTTGATAGGATCTAAAAAACACCCACCTTCATAATAAAATAAACCCAAGATCATTTTTTTGTTATCCAGAAGCAGAAATAAAAAATCAAATTTTTTCTTGTTTCCGAAATGGAAAAACTGGAAAGTTCCAAGAAGGTCGGTCCCAAAAGGATTTTCATGTAGAATATAAAAGAAAGCTCTTATACAGGGTATGTCAGGACGAGCTTACACTATCTCTATATCAAGAATCAGTTGGGAGATATACATGAAAATATGCATGCTTATATATTGCAATACGCTCTCTTCATTTAAAATAATTTCGGCAATGCAGTGTCAACGCTTCTATGAAAAAGTAGCAACAACTTTGTTATTCCAAATGGAATACCCTGTAATTCATTGCATTTTTAGATTCTCCCTGAAAAGCTGATTTCATCGATGCATAAAACTTGGGTCTATCGGAAATGATTACAGAGATATAGGGTGTTCAAAATCGAGATTTTTTAACTCTAGGATTTCTTCGTGTCGAAACTATTAATTATCGGCCAAAATGGCTCACATGTCCCTATTTCAACTTTTGATTCACTATTTACTGATATTTAATCGGAACTGATACAGGCTGATCAGAATTCTGATTCTTGAACCACCCTGTATCTGTTCCGATTAAATATCAGTAAATAGTGAATTAAAAGTTGAGATAGGGACATCGAAGCCGTTTTGACCGATAATGAATAGTTTCGACACAAAAGAATCCTAAAGTTGAAAAATCTCGATTTTGAACACCCTATATCTCTGTAATCTTTCTCGATAGACCCAATGTGAAATACATCGATAAAATCAGCTCTTCAGGAAGAATCTAAAAATACGATAAAATACAGGGTGTTCCATTTGAAATATCAATGTTGCTACTACTTTCTAGTAGAAGCGGCAACACTGCATCGTCGAAAATATTTTAGATGAAAAGAGCGTATTCTGAGATATAAGCATGTACATTTTCATGGATTTCTCGCGATTGGTTCTCGATATAAAGATAGTGTAAGCTCGTCGTGACATACCCTGATAAGAACACTTTTTTGTATAGTACATACATGGCTTTAAATATGACTCCTAATTGAAAATTGTTTTTCATTTTTATTTCAGGAATGGTTTGAAATAAAATAATGGAATTTCGTTTGCTCACTTTATTTTTTTTTTATAAATAATGAAGATAAATACTGGTGTAGGTTAATCGAGGAGATGGTACATTCATTATTCCAAATTTTTTGGGATTTTCTCTCCTCGTTTCTATAAAATAAAAATATGGATATTATTTCAATATACGTGTAGTAAGAACAAATCAGATGATTTGCCCCGAAATGTCATTGCGTTTAAAGACTTTTCCTATCAGAGAGCCTAAAACAAAAATTCATCAGCTTGTCAGTGACAATTTGTATTGAAAAAAGTTTGGAGAAGAGAAATAAAGGTATATAGAAAAAATATCAAATGTTCACCTATCTTTGGACGTTTCGCGAGACGTTTCGGGACCGTTTCAGCTCCCGTTTTCAACATAAGAAAAGATTATTTCAATAGCAAAGTCGTATCTGTCTTGAAGCTTTTCAGTTTTCATTGACAATTGGTGACGTTGGCAATCAAATGAGTTACAGGATGTTTCCATTAATTAATCTTGAATCTACCATTTTCATGAATGAATAATGAATGAAGATAAACACAATTCAGACAAACCAGAAACCAGATGAAATCTAATATAAGATGTTCCAATAACCAGACTTTCTTCATAGACAGTATTGATTTGGTAATTGTGTTGATATAACGTAGATGCACCAGCATGATTTTCAGCCAATCCGAGGTGGAGTTCACAAAAACCAATTTTTGTTCACAGGCAACCAGATGACGTTTCAGTGACGTCTTTTAACGTCAGTTGAATGACCAAGTTGACGTCAGGAGATGAAGTCGTCTGACGTGATAAACGACGATAAATGACGTTCACATTTGGTGATGACATGTAAAAAATATTCCTCGAACATGGGATGATAACCACCGCTGACCTCTGATGACATATAATATCGATTATGCATTATTGAGTGTGCCTGGTGGTCTCTTTGGTGTCATGTCCATTCAATCGTCTATTCAGCAGCACTATCCCTCAGTACGGATCTCCATCAGAATGAAATCAGTTACTCGTATTTATATAAAAAAAATTATGTAGTTTGTGTCGGCGAGATGTAAGCAAACCAAGAATAGTTTGATAGCAATGAAAAGGATGTTGGTTAATTTTGCTTCACTTTGTTGAGTAACGTATATTCATCGATTATTTGTCACCTAACAAAAATCTAAATAGCAAATTATTGAAAAATTTTCTGAATGACGAAGCTCACCAAATTGGTACGTCACACCGACGGGATTTTTTGACTTCATAGATACGTCTGCAACGTCATAAAAGTGACGGTTTCAATACAGCAATACAGGTACACCTTTATTATCATTTTGTATATGTACATATAGAGCTTGATTGGTTTCCGAGATATACAGGATATATATAATTCCAATAAAACTCGCATTATGATTTGTTTTAATGAGTTATACTTCTATCGACGTTAGAAGCATATATATAAAATGACCAAGTGGTACATGTGTGTGAAATTAATGAAAAAACGACTTTTTCGGAAAACTTTTTGACACTAAAAGTGCCTATCCTGTATATATAGATACGTCATAAACCTAACGGTTTCGCATGATAATGTAATTATACATGGTTTAGATATGGTCTGGGAAACATGCATGGACGTCGACCCTTCTAAGTGACATTCATTCGACGTCGAGATGATGACGTGATTATCACGTCATAGAAAGTACGTCATAGTGATGTCATAAATTGGTGAGTGACGTCTCTGACGAAAAATCACCAACTAGGGACGTCACAGTGACGTGATCATTCGTCATCTGGTTGCCTGGGTTCTGAATAACTTCTAATAGAGATCTGAATAGGCTCCTACAATCGGATTTTATCAAAATAAAGCCATTTGAATGATGAAACTTCAATTTGGGCGAAGTCTCCCATTAAATCAGAATAAACTGATATAACCTTTACTTACTCTACTCTGAGAGATAGGCAATTGAACGCACCCTGACGTTCTTCCAGAGGCCAGAAGAGGAAATGTTCGCCGTGGTGGTGAAGATCATGGAGGACTACCGCACGCGCGACATGTTCAAGATCAGCATGGCCGAGCTCGGCCTGTGCATGTTCCAGCTGGAGCACCTGACCTCAGCCAGCACTTCCGATCGCACAACTTCCACACTTTATCAACATTAATCATTCGTCAGCAAATTTCCTAATCTATATAGTATAAGAGATATTCATTTGTCCTTAACATGACAACTTGTTAAAATAAATGAAGCAATATCGCAATTCGAATTGCAATTCTCATATCAATATTTATAACATTATTATATATCCGATAACCATACAAATACAGTCCACTATCAATCAAGCATCGAACATATTGGTCCTTCAAGCTGGATCTATTCAAATTGTACCTTCAAGCCTGCCAAGTATCAGTGAATGCTAACCTACTGGAGCTTTCATAAGTAGCAAGAAGCAGTTCAAGCGACCGAAGATCATGGAGGAGTCCTCGTTACTTTTTCAAATATGTCATATTGTCAGAAAATAACCTAACAAAAATCTCAAAATAAAAGCAAGTCTACCAGTTCGAAACATTTGAAGAGGAAGGCTCCGCAGTGGTTGTGAAGATTAAGGAGGACTACCGCATACGCGACATGTTCAAGCCCAGCATGGCCGAGCTCGGCCTGTGCATGTTCCAGCTGGAGCACCTGGTGGCAGAGCACCTCCCTGACCTCAGCCAGCACTTCTGATCGCAGAACTTCCACACTTCATTAACATAAATCATTCATCAGAAAATTTCCTAATCTAGCAGTTCAAAACACTCCATTCTACGCATTATCCTCAGGTTCTATGTTCTGCTCATAGGAATCCCTGGTGTTTTTCCAGATACCAGAAGATTGTTTAGTGTAAGAGACATTCATTTGTTCTTAACATGACAAAGTGTTGTTGAAACATAAGATTCATAAATAAAATCAATAAATTAAGAAAGATTACAATTCTCATATCAATCTTTATGTTATTATCATATATCCTATGACCATACGAATACAGTCCACTATCTATCAAGCATCGAACACATTGGTCCTTCGAGCCGGATCTATTCGGAGAAAACCTTCAAGACTGCCAAGCATACTAGTTCAAAACATTTGATTTACCGCAATATCCTGATCGTTTTTCCAGATGCCGGAAGAGGAAGCTTTCGCCGTGGTGGTGAAGATAATGGAGGACTACCGAATGCGCGACATGTTCAAGCCCAGCATGGCCGAGCTCGGCTTGTGCATGTTCCAGCTGGAGCACCTCGTGGCCGAGCACCTGCCCGACCTCAGTCAGCACTTCCGATCGCAGAACTTCCACACTTCGATGTACGCTTCGAGCTGGTTCCTCACGCTGTTCACGACGGCGCTCACGCTGCCTGTGGCCTGCAGGATCATGGACGTGTTCCTGTCCGAGGGCATGGAGGTCATCTTCAAGGTGAGCGGCTCTTACGTGGACCATTTATGATGTCGCTTCGCTCAAATGAACTGCTAATCGCCTATTAACAACCTGTGGAAAATACGGCAACATTAAACGTCTTCAAGAAAATCTAGTCTATTTAATTTTTTTAATTCAATTCTTGTAGCGATGTTGAGTTTCTATTAGGGCTGAAAATATGGATATTGAATCTTGAGTGTTGTCCAAATGCGGTTGGACAGCTTACCAATCTTCACAATTCAATTTGTAAATGTCACTTTTTGTAAGTTTATAAATGTTATCTCTATTGTTTACTACTAAGGGCCGGTTGCATAAAGAAACATTAAGCATACAATCAACTGATGCCACAATAACTTTGATGTTATCTTAAATGTCATTTGCGTTGCATAAACAATAATGATGTTATAATAATCATTTCATTTCCTAATGACGAGACGGACGTGGCAACAGCGCTAATCTGTCTGCTCCTTGCGTTCCGCACATTGTTGATACGCATTTTAGGTTAGGTTTATTTGCTTGATTTTCATACAGATTGACAGAAGTTACAGAAAACGTAAATCGGATATTGAAATCATTGTCATCATACATTTTGAATAGATTGTTTCTATTTCGAAAGGTTGTTGTCCTGGGAATCAGTAGTTCTTCTTCAGATAGTGAAGACAAAGATGAGATAGACATTTTCTGTAATACCTGTAATAGTCATTCACTTACATTATTGTGTTCATTTACCTACTCTACCTTTCTGAAATGAAACAAGAACTAAGAACTCTCACGTTTTTTTCAGATTCTGCAAAAATTCTGCGAAATATTCAAAATAATTTGGCGGAACTCTCACAAGTCATTTGCTGGTTGTCAATTTGGTCAGTGGATGAGCACTGATTAAGTTGATGCCATGAATAAGTCGATTTGATGTGACATCTAAAGTTGATTGGCCTTTGTGCAACCGATTTTTTAGTTAAATAGTAATTACCATAAGTTGATTAGATGATTGAGTCACCATGCAACTAAGTACATGATGGGCAACCGAATTCCATGCATCGAATATTTGAAGTGACATCAAATAATTGATGAGCTCTTATGCAACCGGCCCTAAGTGTACTGGAATGATTGTAGCATCGTTTATTTTCTAGGTGGCCATGGCGATGCTGACGCTCGGCAAGGAGGAGTTGATGTCTTTGGACATGGAGGGGATGCTAAAGGTAAGTGGTTTATGTGTCATTTGATTTTCGCCTACTTTCATGAACATCACGTGAATCTCGCTGAGTTCAGTCTGGTGCCATATCAAATTGACAGGCAAGAATGTAGAGCCTTGACTGTTGAGTCCCAAAAGAACTGTCTTTGTTGTTACCAAAGGTATAATTTGTCAATATGCTTGTGTCTGATTTTTGAAAAATTTGTCATTGGTCTCTCCATCTAGTGGTATGAATGTGCCATCAATACGTCATGTCGGGGGAGGTACAATCAGCCACCCATAGGATGTGTATTCTATTGTGAAGGGGACCTTGCTATGCTTTTTAAAATAACTAGATTCGATCAATATTTTTTTCGGAAAGTTTGAAATGTTTGGCAAAGCTTTGGAATTCATGCCAATGGGAGTATTCCCAAGAACTTATAACCTCCAATAGTTAATTAAAAATTCCGACCTACCTCCTATCCCTATCCTCCCTAGGAACGCACGATGTTTTTCGAACATTATATGAATTTCCTTTCGTGCGCTCCAAGAGATGAAAAAAAAAGTTCTAGGTCAGAGATCTTGTGGATAGAGGTTCTGCCTTTTTTCGCTGAATCTGTACTCTGAGCTTTTCAGTAGTTCTTTCAGTTGACACCATCCTGACAAAGTTTCTGTCAATACCTATACAAATTATCTTTTTACTTATGGATAAATCTGAAATGTGCTTGTTTATGATTTACAGCCTCAACTTGTTTGTGTTTTTTTTTTTAAATTAGAACTTTTCAATCCTGGTCTTCAAAAACGGTCGTTTGAATTACAAGAATCCACGATCCTATCGATTTTTCTGCTTATATTCCTGAAATACCCTCAACCTAGATAAAAATACTGAAGTGACATGCTTAAAAAAATTATGAATCATCCTCTTATCACTCTGATATTGAACTTCACTGATTACATCAGTTGATAAGAATATATTTTGTTTTGAACTATCAGATCTATCTTGTCTATGTTCACATGAAGGAAAATTAAATACAATTTCATGATAGCAGGCTTCGCTTGTATTGGCAATAGATAATGTTTTTCTTGCAGTACTTCCAAAAAGAATTGCCTGCTCTTGCCGAGGCAGACCCCGAAGCTTTGATGCAATCAGCTTACGAAATGAAATACAATGCCAAGAAGATGAAGAAGCTGGAAAAAGAATATGTCGTCATAAAGACCAAAGAACAGGAAGAGATGGCAGAATTGAAGGTGAGATCGACAATAAAATTGTTTGTTGACGTTTATCAACGAATAATGACTTGACTTCCAATAATATCGGCACTGAAAAATATCCCCGTAGACTTAAATTGAAATTCGAATGAAAATTGTTATTACGCCATCTTTGAAATTTTGTGGTTATATCATTAACATTTTTTTGGCAATGCAGTGTGAATGAACCAAGTGAAGTCAAGCCTCGACATACAATAATCTGACTTTCAAACGTGTTACGAACATAGCTTCTTCCTTCGATCCAACATATTGATGTTTTTACTGGAATAGGTATGTTTTAGTGAAAAATTGTGTTTCATTATTTTGAGGAAATGACCTCAACTTGTTCACTGTTGTAACTGTTTTCTCCTTATTTTCTGAATAATTTTCGAAATTCACGATATTTCTTAACATCAATGTTAGGTAAATTTTGTAATCATGAAAAAACATGTTAGGACATAACATTGATTGAAACAAAAGGGGCAAAGTTCTCACAGCTCAAAGGGACAACATTTTCATCTCAGAATTATCTGTATCTGAACATGTCTCAGACTATATGAAGTCTATCAGTAGAAAACCAATGTTAGGACATAACATTGGTTAAAACAAAAGGGACAAAGTATCTATAAAAGCATGTTTTTCAGTTTTTCCAAACTACTATTCTTATTATTGACTTGTTATTCTGAGATCCCGATTTTCACGTGTAAAATAAATATTCCAGAGACTGAGACAAGAAAACAAGCAGATGAGGCACCGATGCTGGCTGGCTATTTTATAGAAGCGTGTTGTCTTAGTTTTTCCTAACTACTATTTTTATTATTAACTAGTTATTCTGAGATCCCAATATTCAAGTGTAAAATAACTATTCCAGAGGCTGAGACAAGAAAACAAGCAGCTGATGCACCGGTGCGAGATGCTGGCCGACCGGCTATTTAATGAAACCGTGTTTTCTTAGTCTTTCCAAAATTCTATTTTTATTATTAACTAAACTGGTCAACATTGTTAACGTCGTGGTCCGAAATATAGCCTGAATTCAAAGTAGTATAACTCACGAATGTCCTTACCAATTTGACATCGGTTTTCACCGATGATTAGCCTAATCTCTTGACAATTTGTTGTGGCAATATGAAACTTCTGTAATTTCAGATAACATTGCTACAGGATGATAATTGATTGGGTGTAAAATAGCATCGTGGTCGTCACCTTACCGTTTGAACAGGTAATTTTTCAATTTTTTTTCTCTCCTGTATCCCCTTCATTTATGCTTTCTCTCGAAACGTTTTCGGAATTTTCAAATTCAGAGCTTTGATAATCGTGTTATGAATATTTATTCAAAATGATGCATTTTTTCGATGATTAGTTGAATGAAATTGGAAGATGGAATTCTTGTATGTATAGTCGTCTGATATGTGATCGTGTTCGAACACAGAAAATTCCGAAGAAAACTATACAAAGTGATACAAGAAATACTGAATGATGGAATGGAGAATAACGTAGTCTTCAGTAGATGAAACACAATTTTCTCTGTGTTACTAGTGGAATAATGGAGTGTTACTTCGTCATGAGGATGTCTGGTGTCTGACCTCGAAAGGGTTTTGTAATTTCTCGGATCGAAGGTCATATAATGAAGGTACGCATTTTTAATCAAAATGATGCATTTTCGTTGAGATAAATTATAAAATTCAAAAAATACGGTTGTAGTTCCAGAAGTATGAAATTTATATTTATTCTTGACGATGGATATACAAGGTGCGATAAAAAATATGTCCAGATTGTCCCGGGATGAAGAAAAATATGTTCAAACGTGATGAAAATTGTGAAATTTATAAATACAGTAACTTTTCATGAGACTTATACTAATGAAGATAAATATAGTAAGTCCTTATGAGGCTTAAACGAGGTAATATAAAAAAGACTTCAGAATTGCCATATATTCGTGCATACTTGATACCATTGCATCTTATTATACTGATCTAGCACCTACATCATGGTCTTCAGAGGGAAAATTTCCTCATAGTCATTGAGTGTGAAGTTGAATGTTCATTTCTGCATTATCCTTTTCACAGGGTGATTCATAAGAAATTTATAATATCTCACCTGCTGCTATAGATTTGACGAATTATGTTAAAAAAATAGCTTGCCTAACTTATACTTACAATTATTGCTATTTTGATTTCCTCGCGTCAAACAAATCCTAATTGCATATTGGATTGACTTTCATTCCAATATGTGAAGTCTCTTTCATATTACCTTGTATGAGCCTCATGAGGACTTACTGTATTTATCTCCATTAGTATGATGAACAATTTATCGAATCTATGGCAATTCTGCAGTCTTTTTCATATTTCCTCGTATAAACCTCATGAAAAATTACTTTATTTATACATTTCACAATTTTCGACAATGACCGACACTATATTTCTTTTTCGGAACATAGCGATTTTCATCACGTTTAAACATATCTATTCTTCTTCATCCCGGGACAATCTGTACATATTTTTCATCGCACCTTGTATATCCATCGTGAAGAATAAATATTAATTCCATACTTCTGGAACTTCAACCGTAATTTTTTGAATTCTATAATTTATCTCACCGAAAATGCATCATATTGATTAAAAATGCGTATCTTCATTATATGTCCTTCGACCCTGAGGAATTACAAAACCATTTCGAGGTCAGACACCAGACATCCTCATGACGAAGTAACACTCCATAATTTCACTAGTAACACAGAGAAAATTATGTTTCATCTACTGAAGACTACGTTATTCTCCATTCCATCATTCAGTATTTCTTGTATCACTTTGTATAGACTTCTTCAGTGTTCGAACACGATCACATATCCGACGATTATATATACAACGCTGATTCTTCGAAAAAGAATTCCATCTTCCAATTTCATTCAACTAACGTCGAAAAAATGCATCATTTTGAATGAATATTCATAACACGATTATCAAAGCTCTGAATTTGAAAATTCCATAAACTTTTCGAGAGAAAGCATCAATCAACAGGATACAGGTGAGAAAAAGAATGAAAAAAATTATCTGTGCAAACGGTAAGGTGAAGACCACGATGCAATTTTACACCCATTCAATTATCACCCTGTAGCAATGTTATCTAAAATTACAAAAGTTTCATATTGCCACAACAAACTCTCAAGATATTAGGCTAATCATCGGTGAAATCCGATTTCAAATTGGTAAGGAAATTCGTGAGTTATTTTACTTTGAATTCAGGCTATATTTTGGACCACGACGTTATCATTGTTGACCAGTTTACTATTTTTATTATCAACTTGTTTTTTTGAGATCCCGATATTCACGTGTAAAATGAATATTCCAGAGACTGAGACAAGAAAACAAGCAGCTGAGGCACCGGTGCGAGATGCTGGAGGAGGAGAGCAAGGCGCTGGCCGACCGGCTGGTCAAGGGCCAGGTTAGCAGGGCGGAGGAGGAGGAAACGACCTTCGTGGTGCAGAGGGAGCTGGACGCGTTGAGGCATGCGCACTTGGAGACCATGCGCGATCTGAAGTCGGCCAGGGAGAAAATCAGGGCGTTGTCTGTGATCATGGAGCAAACGGTTAGTCGACAGTTCAATTCGGAAGATATTGTGTAGGCCTTTATTATTCAAACTAACAAGTTGAACCATCTTTATGAGAGCAATGAAGCCAGATATTCTATTCAGTAGGGAGATGTATCTATGAGACTTGTGGCAAAAGTTAATGATAAAACTAAGCTTCAACATATTTTGGATTGAAGTGTGATCCCCTCTTAACATAATGGTTTTTGATTTACATCAGTATCTTCGTTTTAGGAAAAGACAAGTGTTTTAGGAATATATAGATTTTGTGAATTTGCAGAACCTACATGAACTTATCAATTAACAACTAGAAAACACATATGAAAATTGATATCACTGATTTCCACCCCACTTTTACAGCACTCACCAGCAAAGAGAAACCTCAATTACTAAAAACAAAAAAAAACTGATCTCCTAGATGTAGTCAATAACGAGTATGCCCTCCTCGAGCTGAATAACAGCATTCAACCGCCGTGGCTTCGAGTTGATCAAATTTCCCAAGCAGTCTAGAGAAATTGCCTCATCCTTGAAGGGCGAACAGTACCTCTTGACAAGGTCCGACGAAGGCGAATAAAGTCTCTGGAGTTTACCCCAAAGATGTTCTAACTTTCTGAATTATTGTTAATGAAAATCTCAACATTCCATACAATCTTCAAACACTTGTATCTTCTCTCAAAAATAAGATACTGACGTGAAGCAAGAACCATTGTGTTAAGGGATCACACTTTGTTCTCAACAGAGATTTAGAAAAAATATACAGATAGTGTTATGCCAATTTGTTGAAAATCAACTGTAAAAAAACGAAGTTTATGGTGATTGGAGATGTCCAACATTATCAAAATTTCAAAGATAACAGCTATGATATAAAAATTGGAACTTCCTTGATCAGCAGAGTAGATGAGTTCAAATCTCTTGGTGTGACCATAGATAGGCAACTGAAATTCAAAGAGCATGCAAATGTTTTTATAAAAACAATCTCTTACAAGATCAACTATCTTTATAGATGTTCAAAGTATTTGAGTCAATGGTCAAGGCTCATTATTCTCAATACTTTGATACTTCCCCACTTCACTTATTGCTCAACAGTACTATATACATTAAATCAGAATGAAATAGGTCGTTTTCAAAAATTACAAAACTGGGCTATGCGAATAATATTGGCATGTCCCAGAGTAACCCCAACTGTTGAAATGTTGACTACCTTGAAATGGTTATTAGTTAAAGATGTTTTCTACAATCAAGCTATGATTTCCATTTATAAAATGATAACTGGCTGTGCCCCCTAATTACCAGCAGTTATAACATCCATAATCATAACACAAAAAGTAGAACCAACTTTTATAACGCCAGTAAGCAGGACAAATTCTCAAAATTCAATATTCCTCAAAGGACTGCAGCAATTCAATAAATTACCAGACTATAAAAACCTCATTGTCACTGAATATATTCAAGCGAAAATTAAAACAATATTTGCTGGGTGTAGGAATCTGAGTGATGTAGAAAGAATTTTATTTTTTCAAATATACTTGAATGTATTTGCATGTTGAATGGTATGTATTTTATTCAGTATTTGTGTTCATATATGTCATATTCATGACTGTACTTTTTCTCTTCACTCGTAAACTCTTGTATTAGTCATTGGCTAAATGAAGGAATTATATAATTATTGTTAATAAAAATTAACGAATTCCACACTTTCATGAGAAGAACTTGTATCTTCTTTTGAAAAGGAGATATTGACGTGGATCAAAAACCATTTTGTTGAGAAGGAATCACATCCAAAACATAATGAACCTGAGTTCATACACTCACCTTTGCACAGATCATTTAGAATTTAAGGGTGAAAGAGTAACTCGTTTCCTTTGTATTTATAATGATCAAGTCATCAGCTTTTTTTGAGAATTAAACTGAGAAACATTAATCGATATGATCTCGTCGAAATTTCACCAGAATCAGATGAGAATTGAAGAAGGTACAGGGTGATCAATTTGGCAAAATTTGTTGCTGGTCGGTTTTTTTCTTGCCGGTGAGTGTAGATAAAACAAGGAATTCACTACTAAAATCAACATAAAAATGGTTAATTGAGAATCAGTGAAAACATCCTGTGATTCATTTGTTTGCCATCTGATTTGTCCTCACTACAGGTATATTGAAATTATTCTCATATTTTTATTTTATAGTAACGAGGAGGGAAAATTCCAAAAAATCTGAAAATATTAATCAAATTCAGAATTCGTTCATATGTTGGAGAATAGTATCTTGTCAGAATGATTATTTTGATGAAAATATTGCTTTTGACGAGAGGATTTATGGATATGTAAATATTTTCATTCAATTTCATTCTCTCATTGTTAAGATATACAATTTATTATTAGAATCGGATTGGAGTAATTATATCAGCATCAGAATAAAGAAGAACAAATAATTGCATACAAAAGGTTGGTTGTGGAGTTGCAAAAATATTGGCTGACAAAAAAAGTTGGGTACTAAGTCCATACACTTCTGGATAAAAACTCCAAATTTCGTTTAGGCAAGAAGACTATTTCAAAGAATAAAAAATGGCGTTCATCTCGATGAGAAAGGCAACAGATTTTTCGAATTTTTTTTATTCCTTCTAGATTTTCCGAAATGAATTCCTAAAGAAATGCTCCTGTCAGAACCCGACGAAAAATAGGTCCTGTCACCAGTACTATAATGTGCCGACCGTCTATTGGTCGGCGAGAAAAATTGATAATTCATACTATTCAGAGAGATAAACAGCGTTGCCGTCTCATCCGATTGCTTAGCTTGTGTTGATATTTTTACATTCATCACTCCTAATATTTACCTGATTTCATCAATGTCATGGATGAATTGAGTAAGACAGTCTAGAACTCAATTGTGCTTGCTTCCTTATGAGCCGGATTGTGACATGTTATGGCATAGATGTTAGAGTGATGTCATCGGAATTTGAGGTTCATTGAAATGGCAAGTATTGCAAAATCGTTCAGTAAGTTTGTATAAACGTATAATTGAGGATTAGACTGAATTTTGTTGTTGCTGTTTGAACGTACAATGTGCTACAGCCTACTTGATTGGTAAGCATGTCAGCTATTAACTTGGAAATGATGGTTAAACCTATATTGGTGATATTTACTACATCAATGAATTATAAATCATCTCGACGGTTCACAGTTGAGAAATATTTACTTGATAATTCCTTGAAATTAAACAGCTGGCAACGCGAGGAAACGGTTTATGACTTGATTACTGGATAAATGAGTTTGTCGCCGAACGCTATATTTGAAGTTTCCATGAAATTGTAGGATATTGTATTACAGCATATTTTGTAAAAAAACTGATCCATTCATGTTACCACTATGTTTCAGTTATATATATGTACATTTAAAGTGAATTCACGCATATACGTTCTTGTCTGTTTTGAATTAATTTCGAATGTGAATTCATTATGAAATGTGAAGTAAGCTTATAAAATCTCATTATAATATCTCAAACCTTGATACAAATTCAACAGCGGTGAATTATTGATGTTTCCTTAATCGCAAAGTAAAGTCTACAATTTTGGCGTATTTTGAGCTCAAACGATTCCAAATGTGTATTTTTAATTCCATGTTTTTTTCATACTCATAGGTATTCTCATATATCGAAGACTGAAACCTTTGGCACGATAATACACTACACTGTTTTACCACTAACCAAACCGATATTTAAACGCCTTGACACGTGTTTTGCTAACTATTTTAGCATCTTCAAAGGAAGATTGAAACTAGTAGTTTTAATCTTCTCCTGAAGATGCTAACAGCAGTTAGCGAAACACGTGTCGAGGCGTTTAGAAAATCGGTTTGGTTAGTGGTAAAACAGTGTAGTGTGTCATAGGTATTCTCAATCAGCCACTTCCATTTCTCACCGAGATGGAAACTTCAGTTTCAGAGTGTTTCTTTCCTTCTGTTCTAGATGTCGCAATTCCATGATGCCATTGGGCAGGGACTCTGAGCGTATACATGCCGATCGGATTTTTGTTGGGTTAGGTTTCACTTAGTCGCATGTCTATTAGACAGATGACCGGCCCTGGAGGTACAACTAGTTTTTCAATATTATGTTGGCATACGAATCGTGTTTCTTGGGCTATTCATTATTCATCAAAGCATTCCATCACATTGTACAATGCCCAAAAAATGCAGCGAGAGACGAAGGATTGAGATTTTTAAGGTAAATTGTGATCTCACAGTACTGTAGTCACATAGTTTTCATTTTGAAATTTTGTAATGTCTCTTTTCCTTCTGCAATAGGACTAATAGGAGCTGATAGTGAATATTTCTACAACACACACGATCATGTCAGACAAGTCCTCCCGTCTGATTGCACGAATCCAAGTTCTTGCCTTCTTTCAGAAACTTCACAAGTATTTCTATCAGCTCCTGTGGCAGAAGGAATTCTAAAGAGACATGCCAAAATCTTATAATGAAAACTATGTGAGTAACTTCAGTACTTGCAGATCAGAATTTACTTACCTGAAAAATCATATTCCTTCGTCTCTCGCTGCATCAACAGTACAATGTGATGGCATACTTGAATAATCGAATAGCATAAGAATCAAGTAAGAAAAGTGAGGTTGTTTCACCTCCAGGGTCGGTTATCTATCAAATATGCCCGCCACCTATTGGCTGGCTGGTGATAACCAACCCTACACTCTTTCGGTCTTCAGGTGTCAATCTTAACCTGACTACAATCTAAGAACAATTCAAGATTCAGGAAAGAAACACTCACTTTTTTATCTTTTGAAGCGCAGGAGAGGTAATCCCTATAATGTTCGAAGAATTTCTTTAGCACACTTCGAGACAATCCTCGATCGAAGAGATCACCCTGAAGCAAGAACAGCTCGAACAGAGAGAGGAGATGATCGAGTGTCTGCAAGAGGAATTGGTGAAGGTGAGGCTGCGGGAGGCGGAAAACGACGCCGTCACTCGCGAGCTGCGTTCCCGCATCAACGAGCTGGAAGAGGACAAGAAGACATTGAGGTACATACCCCAGATTACATAACAATCGATAAACGCCGCGATTAATTCATGGATCACCAAACAGTATATGCCAACTAGAGTTCCTAAATGTACTTGACACTGCCGATTTTGACGTTTTTTGTATATTAGAGTACGGACACTATGACAAGCACTGACAATCAGACATAACCACAAATAAATTGATGGAAAAAGCGAGAACTGAGAAATTGGGAGAATTAGGAGAAAGATGCAAGTTTGTGCAGTTTCCAACTTTTTTTTATAATGAAAGGAGCGAGAAGCTTCCACCACCACCCCTGCAACTGATGCAGGCTACTGATTTAAATATTACTGTAAAGACTAATTCTTTATGTGTTCTAATAATGGGCTTATATCACAAAAAAAATGTATTTCATAATTAGATAGAACTCACCCAAACTAACTCACCACCGCAAACCGTTTCTTGCTATGAGCTCCCTACGTTTTATAAAAAATTATTGAAATCCCCGATTTTTCGGACCTCTGAAAACGAGGCGATGATGTGACGTCAAAACCCTGATACTGAAACAAGACTATTCCAGACAAAGATGAATGATTCATGATATCTGACAGAGTGAATTAGCGCTAGATCACAGTTGAAAGAATTAATATATCAGTTGCCTCAGTTTCCGTCGGGTGTTTGGTATTTTCTTTTAACTATGGCGATATGAGGTTTCTACGTCATAAGAGGGTCCGTTTCCAGAAGGTACTATTATTTATGTCTAAAGCAAAAAGATACTTAAAGTAAGCCAAGGTACCTGCCTTTCGGCTTACCTCTTGACTTACATTTTGTAATGTAGTCCTGATATGTTGTCTAGCTTCTTCATGATTTATGCATACTGTTAGTCGATGAGTTGGTGTGTCGGGAACATCACAAAAAAGACAATCAGGATTTGCTATTCTACCTATTCTATGTAGGTGTAGTCTGAGTTCTCCATGTCCTGTTAAGAAAGATATAGCTGTTCTTCCTGGTCTTTGATGCGGGGTGTTTAGCCACCAATTTATGTCATTAATTAATTCGTATGTAGCTCTTCCTTTTGACGTTTGATCCCACTCAATTTGCCATTTTTGGTTAATTTCAGTCTCAAGATATTGTTTAACATCTATCCAGTATCTAAAATTTTTAACTGAAACAATTTGTCCCATAAAATTTGTTTCTAGATGAATAGGTTTAATTTTCCCTTTAACACATTTCAAACACAGGGCCTGCAGGCTTCTCAGATTCCTTTTCACAGCAGTCTGATTAATCTTTTGAATCCAGAATTTAATCCCGTATGTCAAAATTGGTATCACTGCCTTCAAATATATAATACTTGTTGAGTTTGCTAGTTTTCCCCAGTTTATGAATATTATCTGGAAATCCTTGATTTACAGGAAATGAACTTCGCCCTTTATTTCCACTTATAGTATTTATAAGATGAGATTGATGTTTATTTTATGTATGGAAATAATAAAGACGACATTATTATTATTATTATATCTTCTTAACATTTGAAAAGTGTTTCTGGACTTATTTATAATATAATTGATGTGTTCTGCAAAACTCAGCTTTTCATCTAACATAATTCCTAAGTATTGTGAGAACACAGGAAATCAATTCACTCTATTCGAATTTCCATCGGATAACGTAATTCTACAAAAATGGAAACAGAATATGATGGAGCCGGCATGGAATATGGGTTCAGGTCACAAAATTTCCCAGGTATTCAAATTTCTTGGTAGTATATAGAACATTTTTCAACGCATTTTTATCAGGTACACTTCAGAACGGAAGATTTGATGTTGAAGAATAGAATCGTATTGAGAGAAAGAGCCAAACCCACAATTTATAAACTGAGCGAGTATCAAAAAGAACCTTATTCCAATTTAGACTGGTTATTGCTTGTGATGGAATGATGGAGATCATGGTCGATCATCTGATGATGAAATAGCAGCAACTTCCTGAATTGACTGACTCAAACAGATTTCATATCCCTGTTCAACCAAGAATTCTTCAGATCATCTTCGTATACGAACTCTTATAATAATTTTGTGAAAACATATAGTCACTTTGTGGAACTCTGATGTACCAGATATTGATGTATCTATATCAAAGAGTTGAATATATTGTTCGTGTGTCGCTTCTTCAAAGTTGAAATTCCAAGTCTGAATGTGCATGTTCATGCGTAGTTGAGAAGTGATAGACGACTACATAGCTCCTAGTGGATTTTGAACCACTTCTTGGTTACTAAGAAACGAGCAAGATATTATCATTGCACAGAACAAGAACGCTTAACGAGTGCACCATTTCTCTTAGGTATTGAAAATGATCTATGGTGTGCTTTTTCTAGGGAGATCACGCCAGACAACAGTGTGGCGCACTTGCAAGAAGAACTGATCGCCGTGAAGCTGCGCGAGGCCGAGGCGAATCTATCGCTGAAGGATCTCAGGCAGCGGGTGGCAGAGTTGAGTGAGCAGTGGCAGAAACATCTGCAGGTAATTCCATATACAGGGTGGCCCATAAAGTTCGTAATACAGTGTGTCCAACTTACCATGCTCACCATGGGTATCTTTTTAACGGTAAGAGATACGAGGTCGGTTAAATGACACCAAATGTGGAGTTTGTCAAGGCCAACTATAATGTGAAAAAATATTTTGTTGAAATCTATTCGTTTTTGTTTTTTATGCAAAAAAACAGATTTTGATCATTTGCATGTCTCCTCCATAACTTCTTTATTTATGAAAATATTCAAATAGGAATTTCACATTCTCATGGCAGTTTCAAAGTGATTTCGAAAAAAATATGAAATTTATACCAACTCTTCTAGAATTTGAGATTTCAGCACCAACTTTAGTTTTTTAAATGTAGGTCATAGCTCACTATGACTTAGTTACAAATAACTTTTTTTTCTCTTACAGATGATATGTCGCAGTAATAGTTTTGTGTTGATAACAACGGAGTTATCGTCATTTATACAAAAACAAAAAATTATTTGGAAGTCGCCATCTTGAATTTATAAATTTTAACAAAAAAATCATGATCTCCGACCTCAAAAACCCCCACTTACCAATTTGGAATGGAATCGGACCAAATCATGTCCGCCATCAATTGAAAAAAATGGCTGCTCCAAGATGGCGGACAAGATTTGATCCGATTCTATTCAAAATTGGTAAGTGGGGGTTTTTGTGGTCGGAGATCATGATTTTTTTGTTAAAATTCATAAATTCAAGATGGCGGATTCCAAATAATTTTTTGTTTTTGTATAAATGACGATAACTCCGTTGTTATCAACACAAAACTATAACTGCGACATATCATCTGTAAGAGAAAAAAAAGTTATTTGTAACTAAGTCATAGTGAGCTATGACCCACATTTGAAAAACTTATGTTGGTGCTGATATCTCAAATTCTAAAAGAGTTGATATAAATTTCATATTTTTTTCGAAATCACTTTGAAAAACTGCCATGAGAATGTGAAATTCCTATTTGAATATTTTTATGAATAAAGAAGTTATGGAGGAGACATGAATATGATCAAAATCTGTTTTTTGTGTTTAAAACAAAAACGAATAGAATTTATCGAAATATTTTTTCACATTATAGTTGGCCTTGGCAAACTCCAGATTTGGTGTAATTTAACCGACCTCGTATCTCTCACCGTTAAAAAGATACCCATGGTGAGCATGGTAAGTGGGACACACTGTATATTGGGAAAAAGATTATTAGTATTATTAGTAGGGTACCGACAGATGTTTTCTCGGGTATCTATTGTGCATGCCCCATAAAGTCAAAAACCGATTTTGACACATGTCACTTGATCACTGGTATAGGTCGCGTGCTCATGTGACAGATGACCGACCCTGGAGGTAGATAGATAGAATATAGATAGAAATCTTTATTAGTTCCTTTTGAAAAATACCTTACGAGGTGTAGAACATGTCATTAAATTAATAATTGTGTATATAGACAATACAGAATATATGAAAAAATAAACAGTAAGCTTATGCTAAGTAAGCAGTAAAACAACCTCACTTTGCTTTTTTGTTTACAAATGATTAAAATAGTTTTTCACAATTATGTTGGCATAGTAATGTGTTTTTTGTTATATTTATTAATTCAAGCATTCCATCACATTGTGCTGTTGTACATCGCACAGAAAACGCAGTGAGAAACGAAAGAATAAGATTTCTCGATTTCAGGAGCACAAACAGGAATTGAAACCAGCTTCGTCCGGTGATGCTTTGAGCACCCCGAAGAAATTGTTGTTCTGGGAGCATCGTCACAACGAAACCCAAAAATTGGAAGAGGAACTGATGACCACCAGGATAAGGGAGATGGAAACCCTAACCGAGGTCAAGGAGTTGCGTCTCAAGGTAAGAGAAAAAGTACCACTAAATATAAATTCAATGAAAATTGTTAAAATATGTTTTGACCCCTCTACGGGTGATCAGGTGCACAGTTCAAGAGGAGAAGAGAAAATGAATGCTGAAGGCACAACTGATGAAAATTATTCAAAAGTACCTATAGCTATAGAGGAGTGTATAATCTCTGCTATTGATGAAGTAATTTTTTCCAAACCTCTTTTATTTTGGTCTAATGAATATTTTTATACAAATCCGAACATCGGGTAGGCACGATACTAATATTTTTCATTCATGTTTGATCATCATTGAGTCAAAATAGTATATTATTTAACGAGCACGGAATGATAGTAATTTGCCACGAGAAGGAAGTTTGACGACAAATTAGTATTACGAGAGAGTTATGCACTATACTTCTTTTTTTTTTATCGCTCGGAGCGCACGAAATGGAATCTTTATAATGCTCTTACCTAGATAGGATAGGAAGAGGAGGTAGATATTGGATTGTATTTGAACATTTGAGTATTATAAGTTCTTGGAAATACTTCGTCAGGCAATGAACTCCAGAGTTTTGCCGTTTTATAGACAAGCGAGTTTTGATCAAGTGCTGTTAGACATGTTTCGAGGTTGACAACGAAAGGATGTGCTGACTGGGCTTGTCGAGTTCGCCTGAGTGTTCTAGTGATGGAATGATTGCAGATATTTCTGAAGAACATTTCCCGTTTAAGAATCTATAGAAAAGTGAAAGGTCACCGAGTTTTCTACAGTGTTTTCTATGATGTCAAAGAGTTAGTGAGTGTGGCTGTTCTCTGGATGGAATCTGAAACCATCAGCGCATATTTGGGTGCTGAAACAAATACCGAGCATATATTTAGTGGACTTGGTTTGAATGGTTGTACCAGACATTGTGATATTAGGCATACTGAATTTCGCCTTACTAGCGAGAATACAGGCTTGAGTTTCGGTGGCGTTGAATTCGAGTAGGTTGTTGGTCCCCCAGGCTGTAATTTTAGCAAGATCTCCATTAACAACGTTGTCCTGCTGTCGCCGTGAGTTCTTAGCTTCCTGGGAAGAAATAGGAATTCTGAAAGATTGGTGATTCCTGAGCTTTCCAGATATTTGATAAGCTCAATGTTGATGACTTTCCCCATCACTTTGGAGATAACTGATAACAATGCAATAGACCTGTAGTTGTTGGGCACGTTTTTGTTCCCTTTTTTGGAATTGGTAGGACTCTAACTATCTTCCAGCAAGATGGAAAAATACCCGACTTGTACGGGATGGTAAATAATTTTCAGAGAATCTGTGTCAATTCTGGAGCACATTTTGTTCAATAATGAGTGTACTGCGGAATACTCGCGCGGGACAGTTATCCCAATCATTCGCGATTTCATGAATTAATCCGTGTTTCGCGTTAAGCATTGTTGGCTTATACTTCTTCTAGATTTATGATTGAATCGGGGTGTCTATCTATCGTTATTTTGTCTGAGATTGAGTTTATTTTTCGTAGGTGATGGAGCTGGAGACGCAGCTTCGCAAGCAGGACGAGGATATCAAACGCCATATCGAGGCGTTGGAGATGTCCCCACCATTCGTTATTCCATTCATTTATTCGTGTTTGGCGCAAGGATTGTTGGCATATACTTTTCAATGCTTCATGAATTTCAGAATTATCCCCATCATTCGCGATTTCATTCATTCATCCTTGTTTGGCGTTTAGAAGTGTTGGCGTATACTTTCCAATGATTCATGAATGAATCGCTGTGTCTACCTATCGATATTCAGTCTGAGATTGAGTTCGTTATTGTTAGGTGATGGAGCTGGAGACTGCGGTGCAGGTGAGCTCGAACCAGCTGCGCAGACAAGACGAGGATATCAAGCGGCATATCGAGGCGCTGCAGATGTCCCCACCACACGCTATTCCATTCATTTATCCGTGTTTAGCACTAGGATTGTTGGAATATATATTTTTTAATGGTTTATGAATCTCAGAATTATCCCCACCGTTCGTGATTTCGTTAATTCATCCGTGTTTGTTGTGTAAAATTGTTGGCGTATACTTTTTAATGGTTCATGAATCTCAGAATTATCTTCAACATTTACGATTTCATTCATTCATCCGTGTTTGGCGTTCAGGAGTGTGTCTACCTTTTTTTTTATGTTCTGGTTCCCACGAAAAGGGATATCTTGTAATGTTCAGAGAACATCGTGAGAACCAAAGAAAATCAGGTAGGAATTGGTGTTCTTCTCAAATTTCTGGAGGTTTTATGCTTCGGGGAACACCTCCTTGCCAAGGGAGGTGTTGCCTATCGTTGATAATACCTGAATGTTCCAGGAATTTCATGAGCTCGATGTTGATAGCTTTCTCCATGATCTTGAAAATATTAGATACCAGTGCGATCGGTCTATAGTTGCTAGGTAGGTTTTTTTTTGCCTTTTTTAGGAACTGGTTGTACTCTTACAATTTTCCAGTTGGACGGGAATATCCCCAATTTGTAAGAGTAGTTGAAAAACTTGCAGAGAACAGGTGTTAGTTCGGGAGCACATTTCCTGAGAACAATCGGTGGGATTCCGTCGGAGCCACAAGCTTTGTTGGTGTTGAGACCCAATAAAATCTTCCTTTTAGTACGTTGCCGAAAGGTGATCTCGGGCATATGACTGTCAATTGGCGTTATGTTTGGAGGTTGTTTTCCCGATGAATCCAGAGTGGAATTTCCAGCAAATAAATGCGTTATTGTCGAAGATTATCTTCCTTGTCCTGGGAATTCTCGCATGGGAAACCATGAAAACTTCCTTCCAGATATGGAAAAGACTCCATAGGGAATGATTGGATCGATGAATACACCAGATTAGAGAAATGATTCTCCAACTTGCGTTTTCTAACAGAACAAAAACCCTGATGGATACGAGACCAGACCAAACTCAAATCTGGCAATCAATGTCATCATGCTAGTTGTACAGGGTACTTTTTACCCGCCCATCTAGCATGATCGCCACTCGGCGACATTATTTAGTCTGAGATTGAGTTGGTTGTTGTTAGGTGATGGAGCTGGAGACTGCGGTGCAGGTGAGCTCGAACCAGCTGCGCAGACAGGACGAGGATATCAAGCGGCACATCGAGGCGCTGGAGGCGGCGGAGGGACGCGACCGGGAGGCGGCAACGCGGCTGCTGGAAGAGCGGCGGCGGTACGCTGACTTGGACAGCCGGATGCGGGACGAGCTGATGCGCGCTCGGATCGGAGACGCGGAGAAGGCGCAGAAGATCGCTGAGCTGGCGCAGAAGATCAGTCAGCTGGAGCTGAAGGTGAGAGGCATTTATTTTATACAGCTCATAGTACGAGATCCGACAGCAAGATTACTACGTTCATCTGTTACACAATGAAAATCTAATTTTAACATATATTCATGAATAGGATATATGTTTCACGCCGGCGGAAGTAGAATTTAGCTTCTCTGGTATCAAAAGAGGGGCAAAAGTCTCGTATTATTTCATAGGGAGATAATGTGACATATTTTCTCCCTAGGGAGTTTATACCAACCTAACATTTTCCGCATAGCTTTCTTTTCGAAACACCCTTCTCTGAAGCGAGTAAAAGCTGCATCATACAGATTTCTAGATCTCACTGGTAGCAAGTTGAGAATCACTGCTGCAGTATCAATAGTTTCTTGGGGTTTCCCCTCGATTTCTTGTTCCATAACCGTTAACCATTTTCAAAGCTGTTTTCATGAATTTCAGTTTAATAATTGCTGTCACCATGGGTTGTCAACAAGATACATGTTGTCAAGATACGAATTCCACAAACTATACTACTACTAATTATGACAAAACACTTTGTTCAAATTTTTATTCTTTCTCAATTTTTGTGTTTTCGCCAGCATAAAAAATAGTATATACACCCCAGGACAGAATGCTATTTTTCCCTCGGTGCTTTGTAACTCTAGGGCTTCGCCCTCGAGCTTGGAATAAAACTTGCATTTCTGTCCCTTGATGTATGATGTACTATTTACTGAAATGTTGCTGCAAATATTTTCAATACATCAACAATGACGCAAAACCGAAGTGTGTGGCTAGCGAAAACGACCATTTTGCAGCGGAAAAGTACTACTTGATTTCTCTACGCCACGTTTCATATTCGTAGAGCTACAGTCCTGATTATGTGTTATGGGTGATGTGTTCACAGATTCAGATCGATTTTTTGATTATGAATTCAACTGTACAAGGTGGTTTGAATGTGTTTCGACCTAGTTTAAGCCATCTTCAATGTATTTTTGAAATTCCGAAGAGGAAATACCATCAGTTCATTCGGTGTTAAACATTGAGGTACTTGTTCAATGCTGAAAAGAAAATAAAACAATTCACTGAATTATTCAAAGCACCGCTTCAAATTGTTTCTTGTTAATGGATTCCTACATGAATTACCTTGATAACTAAACTCTGACAACACGAACAGTAATTGAAAAAAAAAATACATTCTTTTTTACTTTCAGTCTTAAATAACTACTCCATCAATGTTTGACACTGAATGATCAGAAAAAATTGGAACTAATGCTATCTCCTCTTTGGAATTTCTAAAAAACATTTATGGTTAAACCAGGTTGGTTGGTTGAATTCAGAAAAAAAAAACTATCAGAATTTGTGAACACCTAGAAAAAAAATGTTTCTAAGAATACTAATCGTCCCGTAGATTAATCAATATCACCGTGATAAATCTACTCAAAATTTTCGTTGGAAAAGTATTTTCAGATTTTCTGTAACTCTAATAATAACGTAGAAAAAACAATTCTCCAAAAATTCACTTTTTTCGATATAGTTAACTGAAAAACTATAAACAATTTTGAAAATTTTCGAATGCCATTAGTGTGAACCTCTGAAAATACGCAAGGTTTTTTCCCGTTTAACCGAGTTCGTATCACTCGTTTCCGAGACCCCCCATGCTGGGCAACCTTATCTTGGTCACATTGAATAAATGCATAAATAGGTCGCGTGCACGATGACCGACCCTGGAGGTAAAATAGTGAAACACAACCTCACTTTTCTGTAAAACATCGAAACACAACCTCACTTATTCCATTTATTTACAGAGGAATCAAAGGATTGTAATAGTTTTTCACAATATTTTGACATACGAATCGTGTTTTTTGCAATAGAAGCTAATACTGCTGATAGATTGAAAATGTCTACAACACACACAATCATATTTCGTCAGCATGTCAGACCAGTCCTCCCGTTTGATTGCATCAATCCAATCTTCTTGCATTCTTTTAGAAATTTCTAGAAAGAATTATGATGAGAAATCATAGAAATTACCAAATTTCAAATTGAAAACTATGTGAGTGACTATAGTAGGTTCTTACTTTTATATCATGATGTACCAACCGGATTCCTTCGTCTCTCGCTGCATTTTTTGTGCATTGTACAACAGCACACTGTGATGGCATGCGCCAAAACAATTGTGAAAATCTATTTCAATCTTTTGTAAACAAATAAGAAAAGTGAGGTTGTGTTTCAATGTTCCGGGGTCGGTCATCTGACAGTTCTTGAACGCAACCCATAAACATGCTCCATTTGACGTATGGAGGTTATGTTATCGAATCGAATAATCTTTTCACGTGCGGGATTCGTTTTCAGAATCAGGAAATTGCTACAGAAGGAGAGCTACGCATCCATTCAGTGGAAGACAGCGATAGGGTTAGAGAACTACAGGACAAGGTTGCAGATCTACAAGCAGAGGTGAGATATTCATGCGTTAATGCATTCTTCATTGTATCGCAAATATTTACGAAAGCACTGTTTTATAAGCACAAGCTTCGCTTCATATCTGCGACTAACTAACATTCCCTCATCAAGTTTGCCTCAAGAATTAATTTTAATAATGAAATTTTCATAGAATCAACTGTTTTTTGTGTGTGAAATTCACCTAATGATGAGTTTATGATGAAACAACAGAATTTCCATTTCAAATTCGGATGTCAGAACTTTTGAATTATTTCATTTCCATTAATATTCGGAATTGAATCCCAAATCAACCTACAAAATTAATATCTTTGAAAATCAAAAGTTATTCGATTTTCTCTCCTATTGATTCATAAATCATCATCTTGTATAGGAAAATACAAACATTTATTATCTGCTTCAGTGTAATATAAGCTAATAACCAATTACCTAGTTTCCCACGCCAATCACTAGCCCGGATACTAAGCCTTGGAGATGGCTCGAGTAAGTGTATCTACACAATGTAAGCTTCATATAATGTTTTTTTTTTGTAAATGTACCTAGTATGTTTATCTCAAAATTCAGCAATATTCATTCAATGACCAAAATCTCGGTCTCTTCCACTTTATACCCTCCTTATTTTAGATCTCAAATCTACAATATAGATTTTTTCAATTGTGTCGGGTGTTACTTGAAAATTCTTTATTTTGGAAAGTTTTATAATGATCTATTTCAAAATTCGGTGTTATGGATTGACTTGTAGCTACTGAGGAAACGAATTCAAAAGCTGGGAATTGTTGAGGTCTAGTAGATTATTGAGTAAAAGGAATTTTTTATTCTTTGCTGAATCTGGCATTTGTTGAATTCAGCAACACGATATGGAAATTAAGAAAATTCGCTTGATATTTCCTCGAAATAGAACAGCTGACAATACAGAACGCTATATTTTAACGTTCCATGACATTTTAGAGTATTCAATTGATGTTCTTTGAAGTATCACAGTATTTTGTGATCAGAGCATTTTTTTATATTACTACGATAGGTATTGCATTTTTTCTGTGACTGCTGTTTCAATATGTTCAACTTCTATTATCTTACATTTATTATATTTTATTCCTTATATTGATCAGTTGTATCTTCGTTTATATGGAACCAGATGGAACTATAAAAAATTCTTGTATAAATTCTGTATTTGAAAATTCACTGTATATTCAGTAGTCCGACAGAATAGTACTTGTTCAATATCCAGTGCCAGTGATACCTTGTAGATTACAACGAAAAGAGGCATGAATATCAGCTGTATTTCGAGATAAACTTGTTGTTTGTATTCTGTAGTAAGATATGCATGGGTGTTTTTATTATCTTTTCTTATAGTTTTTTTTTAATCGACTCCGCGTTACTTGATGGAAATCCATAGGAAATGTAAAAATTTCCACAAAATTCTTAGTCACACGACATGTTTCGCTAACACAGGTGAAATACTGGTACAGAAATTAACTAACCTTGGCTTGCCTAAACTCATATACAGGGTGTTTCATAATTGAGTGTCAATATTCGAGGAGGCGATTCTTCGGCCCATTCTAAAGCCCTGGTTTTTCTAACCAGATCGGCCCGAAATATTTCGGTGATATAGCACAGAAAGTTTGTTTGTGTTTCCGGTGAAACCAAGCGTATTTGTAGTCCATAGTAAAAAAATTGTAAAATTGTTCTATCCGTCATTCGGTTGCCCCCTTACGAGCAACCCTCAGAAGTCTTCGAGAGTCTTGTGCGAGCAAGGAATAACGGGGGCCTTACCTTTTAACGTGTGATCCCAAACACTTTCTTGGGCCATCAGAAAAATTTCTGCAGTCGACGGGACTCGAACCCACGACCGGCAAGCGAATGCGGATTAGAATATAGACACTCTGTCCGCACGGCTACCTGGTTTGTATAAAAGATCGGATCGAAATTTCGGGAAAGTAAACGGATAGCAGTTCGTCGGAATCAACCAGTGTTTGATTTGAACGATTTCAGAACCGCACAGTTCGCCGAAATAGTGTAGTGTGTTCGTTTTCAGACCTAGACAAACAATAAACGGAAAAATTCTAGATGCTTCAACACTCATAAACACCTTCTTTGGACCTTTTCTCAAACATGTTCAGAACTTTAGTATTTTTAGTACATACTCCTAATAACGCATACTCATCATCATGTTCTTCTTCTGAAATCAAAGCAATAAAAAAAATCGTTTTTTATTTTGACTTTGCCGCAAACACCCTACGAGAACACTGAAATATATCGGAACGAAAATTTACGAAAATTTTCTTCAGACAAACCACACATAGACGAAACTTCTGAACGAACTGAATCCGGCAAATATCTTTCTGTACGATGATATTCGCCAAAATAATTCGGGCCGATCTGGTCAGAGAAACCAGGCCTTAAGAAGAAAGTTTCATATGAACGTATGACCTAAATGTCCTAACTTTTGAGATACAGGGTGGTAAAGTTCTCAAAAATTAATAGTTTTCCATTAATATCTGTCATGCCACTTCGTATATTCTAAGGAAATTTGGCATACATGTACTATGTATCAAGAGGCATCAGTTAGTGTACCACATTTTTTTCTTCTTAGAATGGGCCCAAGAATCGCCTCCCCAAATATTGACATCGAATTATGAAACACCCTGTATATCCTAATTTCCCAACCTGAATGATTAGAGTTACCTGTAGAAAGATTCGATAAACCTTCATTCTCGGAAAATAGGCACAATATCTACATTAAAATACGGTGTAACGGATTAACTTGGAAGGGTTGATACAGGGCCTACTCTATCTAACCAGGCCGGAGCATCGCTTTCGTGACGTCACACTAGTAGGGACAAAATCAACGCAGTGGAAATTATCTCTCCCGTTTCATTGATTTACCTCGGGAAAACGGTCACAGCGAAAAATATCAAGAGGTCAAATATGTACAGGAAAGAATTTTCCAGAAGATGAATCAAATTTCACTGATTTACGATCATTAATTTCAGAAATATGGCATATCAAAATTAATTGACGCCATTCAGAATTGTCCTTTTTCAAACAGCTACCAAAATTCCAATATTCAATTTACAGGAATGATTCAACCATGAAAAGATTTCGCATAGTATCTAGATTGACTGAGTTTTTTTTTTAAATTAACAAGGGCCAACAACAAACCGATATTTCAATTCAAGTAGAACGATGATTCAGGTGTTCATTACAGAATAGTTCAAAAAGTTCGGACGCCTCCCATGCTAATCCTATCAACTGTGGATATATGCTGTCACTGACTTTTTTGTAGGAAATTTGATTGCCTACAAATCGATATAATACACATCCACTTTATCTCGAAGGGTTTTAGCAGCGTTTATCTCTAAAGATGACCAGGACGCACTTTCATGACGTTCGAAATCCTATCACTCGAGTGTGTTATTACACAAAAACGCCTATTCGGTATCAATTATTTTCTGCTGAAGAGTATATATTTGAATGATAACGTTAAATTCATGAAAAAATTTGATTTGAAAATATTTGGAAACTATCAAAATTAAAAAGAACAAAATATGTGGAGTTCATATGAACACAACCTTACAAAAATAATTGAGAAAATATGTATCTCAACAATGAGAGATATAAAAATGAATATAACGAACTGAATAACAAAATACCGAATTTTTCAGACACCAATATTAGTTGGTCTGAACCATACGCCATTTAGAAATAAAATTAGCAATAAAAAGTATATCGCCCTTTACCAGTCCAAGGAATTACCGCGAAATCGTAATACAGCGAAATTTGGGTAGGTAGGTATAACGGCCCATTTTTTACGCGCTCTTTATATTTAATTTCTTTCGGACTCATTGTAGGTAACTCTAAAATTTTTTCACTATTCAATTGATTCATTATCGTAGTTTGATGTATTGAGATAGTTTCATCTTATTCCAATATCAAATTTGCAAAAAATAGTATTCTGTAGTACAACGTCCTGATTTTCAATAAAATGGAATTTCGATACAACGCCATAACTCTCGGTATTGATTCATCCTATTGGATTCATTTTTTCATCAAAAGTTGAGGAATTTGTTGGGGATCATTTCGTCTCGATTGAGTGTGCTTCTAAAATTTATAGTAAATGAGCTATAGCCTATCAATTACGAACGCATCAGTACGGACTGATGTGAAATCTCAACCTACTAGTGTGACGTCAGCTTCGAGAGAGAGGGGATAGACTACGGCCCGGTGAGATAGAGTAGGCCCTGGTTGATAGCAAATACATATTATTACCTAGTAAGAAAACAAATTCAACACTGGTGAACTATTGAGGTCTAATTGATCGTTAAGTAAAATTAATTTTTGAGTTTGTTGATTTCTAATGATTCAAAAAGATTGAGTTTTATTCTTTCATTTTCTACGTGTAGAATTTCGAAATTATCATCAAAACTAAGATTTTCTTCTAATATGTGGTTGGCGTATGTTGAATTTAAATCATGGTTTTTGTTTTGTTTTTCTACCGCCATCTAGTCGCGTTTCTTCTAAGGTAGTACCATTCGGTCCTCTGAATAGGATTGATGGATCTTCCACAAAAGTAGTCAGGTAGTGCCATCTGTCATCAGAGTGGTTTACTTGCCACTAGATGGCGATAGCATGACGATAGCATGACGATCATCATGTATTATCCGGCGTCGTCGCATTAAAAAAATTTGCCGAAAACTCAGCTTCTTCTAATGGCACCTACTATTTTGTTCGAGGATGAGTTATTGAATACAAATCAATTATGTAGTCAGCAAAATATTCTATGAAGGGATGTCAGAATACAACAAAATACCACTAAACATAAGAGAGAAGGATGTCAAGAAGTTTAAAGTTTTATTAGTGTCCTATTATTCCATTGTACTCATTATTTGAAGGTTTCATATCGAAATGAGGAAAAAAAAAACATTGAAACAATTGTATATAGTTCATTGGAAAGACGAGAAATATTATTAAACAGGGTGTTTCAGAGTAGTGGTGACTAGAGTCCCTGTATATACCTTTGACAAGAGTCCGGACACAGCAATACTTCTGTCCTTTTCTGTTTTCAAAAAATGCATTGATGATTGAATAAAGGAATAAGACATATATATCGAGCTCTGTCTTTTCAATTCCCCTACCTAGTATCAATGTTTGTCAGAAACAATTTTGAGGGTTAGATTATTTGTCACATCGTTCATAGCCGTAGGTAGAAGTGAGAAATAGGGCTATTTTAACTAGAATAACTATTAGATTTTCAAATAATGAACAACAGGGTGTTCTAATTTCGAATCGATAATTTTCATAATCAATTCCTGAGATTGCTATTGCAAATTTTCGTCATCAGATATTTCTTTACTTCATTAGATATAAGAAAGATTATTTAAGTGTTCTACGTGGTATCACATATACAGGGTGTCCCTAGACCAGTGGGACAGTTGAATATCTCCTGAACCAATAGGAATTTTCGAAATATTATAATTCCACATCATATCGCATTATGAGTGCTAACTTCAGGAATTACTATATTTTCTACGAGGGGCACAAGAAAGGCTCACAAAATCGAACATCAATTTTTTCAAATGGAACACCCTGTATTTCATTGCATTTTCATAATCTCCTTGAAGAGCTGAATTCAACGACCTAGCACACTTGGGCTCTAGCGGGAATGATTTCCGAGATATAGGGTGTGGAAAAATCGAGATTTTTCATTTTTGGGAATTTTTTGTGTCAAAACTATTCATTATTGGTCAAAATGACTTACATGTCCATATCTTAACTTTTGATTTACTATTCACTCGTATTTAATTGAAACAAATACAGGGTGGTGTGGAATTCCGACTGAAACTGAGAATTCTACACCACCCTGTATTTGTTTAATTTAAATACGAGTGAATAGTAAATCAAAAGTTAAGATATGGACATGTAAGCCATTTTGACCAATAATGAATAGTTTTGACACAAAAAATTCCCAAAAATGAAAAATCTCGATTTTTCCACACCCTATATCTCGGAAATCATTCCCGCTAGAGCCCAAGTGTGCTAGGTCGTTGAATCCAGCTCTTCAAGGAGATTATGAAAATGCAATGAAATACACGGTGTTCCATTTGAAAAAATTGATGTTCGATTTTGTGAGCCTTTCTTGTGCCCCTCGTAGAAAATATAGTCATTCCTGAAGATAGCACTCATGATGCGATATGATGTGGAATTATAATATTTTGAAAATTCCTATTGGTGCAGAAGATATTTAACTGTCCCACTGGTCTAGGGACACCCTGTATAGCCAAGAAAATATAGTTGTTTTCTTTTGGGATATAAAAAAATAGAAGATATATAATTGTTTCAATATAGTTTTCTCCGATTCTCTCAATTTGATAACACTCATCAGAAATAAAAGTGACAAAATCAGAACAATATATTTGATAGCGAGTTCTTTATTAATTGTGTCGGTTTCCCACCTCTTCCTGCAGTCTACATTCACCTGTAAATTTTGAATTTGATCTGAATTAAAAAACCGTGAACTGATGACAAAACACATTGCAGTTTCTCTAAATCTTCTAGTTTTGATTTCAAACTTTCAATTTCTTTCCGCATCATGTCATTCTCATTTTCTTTCTCTGCGATCGTATCATTCAGTAATTCCCAATACGATGACGACGGGACTCTTTTTTGAACGTCTCTGTTTTATAAATTGACGGCAGACTCTTTCATTTTGAAATCCATCAGCTTGAAAGAATCTCTATCAAAATGGGCCTAACATTCAGCTTTCTTTCACTGTTTTTACAAGTAAATTTGAATATTTACCTCACATATTGCGGATTTCTTCAAATTAATTTCCCATTCTAGACGTTTCATTGCATTCTTTCAAGACATTATCTTCAAAGAATAATTCGGAAAATTGAATAACTTGAATCCCTTATCTAATGAATTATTATCGCAATAATGTACGCAGCAGGACATTGAAATAATTTAAAATGCTAAATTTTGGCGGTCATAAAATTTCAAAGTGACAGTGACAGAAATTCGAAATAATTAAGAAAAGCGGGCGGGACGACTATGGTGTTTTGTCACATTGTCAGGTGGGCAAACCAAATGAAACAAAATTTTAAAAACCCCAACAGCTGTCAGTTTTGTGTCCGGGCTCTTGGCTAAGGTATATACAGGGACTCTAGTGGTGACACCCGCCTAGAGGAGTTTCCTCTCAACAAAATTTCAAAAAATAATCATTTAAACATGGGCCCGAAATGCTTCATTTTGAGATATAGTTAAGAAAAGTGTTCTTCATTAATGTTTTGAAAACGCTTGAGCCGATTTGAATGAATTTTTGTTGGTCAATTTACACAATTATCAGACATTTACTGGACCAATTAGATTTGATTCAGAATTCCCAGGGGCGCACCCATCGAGTTTTTTGTGTTCTTGAATATTCATATGAACCCACTAAAAATACAACATTTCTGTCTCTTGCTATTTTTTCGTATATTTATTCGTTTTCGAGCAAAACGGACAATATCATACCTCGGCATGTCTCTGAACTCCATAAAGAAAAAGAAAAATGCCTAGATATTATCCAAAAATTCAAACCACATTATTTTTTACGGAAGCAAGAGACATAAACTTCAATACCCTCTCTAAAATGTATACGATCCTCAAGTTTTGTGAGAAATATTTTTTCAACTCATTTTGTTAAACTTGGACACTCTATATCTTGGAAACGAATCATTTCGGATCCATGTTCATGTAACTTTTTTTCAATATTTGGTTGAAGAGGAATCTTCCCTAGGCTATTGTCAACACAACTCTGAAACACCCTGTATATGTCACCAACTAGTAATTATCAATACGATACATATACAGTGAGTCCGTAAAAAGTGTCTCCCCCCTTTAACTGTTGAACGGAACAAGTTGGCGGGTCGGGCAAAATTCGGGTGAGAAAGTAGCTCTTTTACTACTTTTTGACATGTAAGGTTGTAATCACGTGGCCTAGTTTCAAGAGGGCATAATGAACTTATTTTTAATGAACAGGTTGGTCACGTGTTGCCTGCCTTTGAAGGCCTTCCAATTCTCTATCCAACATCGCTTCGTTTGTGCAAATCGGCCAAGCCATTTCAAACTGACAAACCTTTGACAAGAAATAACGTTCGTAATGAATTCCAAAACCGGGTTTGTTTTCTGTTAATAAGTGAAGAGTGAACATTCGAGTATTTTGGAGCACTAGTTACTCAAAATGTTGTTGCAATTGTGACAGTTATTCTGTTTTTAAAATATTTAAAGCAAACTTCAAACCTCCCCCTCCCTATAAATTAAAAAAAAATGTTGGTGCCGTCTTGACACTAGGCAACGTGAACAAAATCATTTTTATGCTAAACAGTAGTAAAAGAGGTACCTACCTTTTTACCTGAAAGGGGTGAAGGACTTTTTACGCCCTCACTGTATTCTGTATGATTGATCATCAACGGTTGGTAAAGCCTGTGAAGTAAACCTGTGTATAGAGGTGTTCCTATATGACATCTTCTTCTTTTTTTGTAACGTAATAAACGACTTCGTTCATTCATTCCACATTCATGACCAAATAGGTATTAAGATTGAGAAGAGGCGGCACAGGCTACGCTGGAGGGGGCCGAATATCGGGGGACAGGTCCTCTTCCATCGACAGCACCGACGACGATTCCAAACTCCTTCTGGAAGACCCCACTCTGCGGCTGACCATCGTCGATTCTCCCACTTCTCCCGTCTCCCCCAATCTGCCAGACATTTCCGAAACAGATACCCCCCAAGTTTCTGAAACGAACTCGGCCAAAATCTGCGAAACGGACACGCCTAAAGGTAAATTGCGTTTGGACTTGGATCCGAACATGAATGAGGCCGAGGTCACAAGAAACGTGCCGCGAGTTTGACGAACTTTGAGAAGTCGTAGTTTTGTATCATATTTTTTGATTATTCTTGTGAAGTCGTGGTGGACTCAGAAGTTTGTACTAAGTCATACAATGCAGGGTGAGGCAGACTGAAATAGTCGCCTCAGTTACATTTCTTGAATGAAGTTCTTGAACTTGTTACATCAAGAGTTCGTTACAAAATCAATTCTAGACATTTTTTTCAATATCAATCTCTCAGAAAGTGGTAGCAACTTGACTTTCGAATGGAACATCCTGTTTATCACTCCATTTCCGTCATTATATACATTAATGCTTCACCGTTGTCGTTCGAAATAAAAACCTATAGTTAGTAGGCGAGAGGTGTAATATTGTCTGTCTTTCAAGTTAACTGAAAATGAGAGTTGATTTGCTTCAATGGAATATAAAATCTGCCCAGATTCTCCGAAACGGACAAGCCCAAAGGTAAATCACGTTTAGACTTGGGTCCGTTCATGAATGGGGCCGAGGTCACAAGAAACGTGCCACAAGTTTGACGGACTTTGAGCAGTTTTTGTGACATTCAGTGGTCACAATTTCGTATCCTATTTTTAGATCATTCGTGTGAAGTCGTGGTGGACTCAGTAGTTTGTACTACGTCATCTCTCAGTATACAAGGCAGGGTGAGGCAGACTGAAATAATATACCGCTTCCATCTAAGTTACATTTCTTGAATGAAAGTCTCGAACTTGTCACATCAAGAGTTCGTTACAATATCAATTCTAGACAATTTTTTAAGTTTCAATCTCACAGGAAGTGGTAGCAACTTGATTTTCCAATGTAACATCCTGTGTATCATTCCATAACTGTCATATTATTCAATAAGGCTCCACCGTTGTCGTTCGAAATGAAATACCTATACTTAGTAGGCGAGAGGTATGTTATTGTCTGTCTGTCAATTGCGCTAGTTTACTGAACTCATCGAGAGATCATTTGCTTCAATAGAATATTCCTCAAAATGAAAATCCTGGCCGAAATCTCCGAAACTGGCACGCCGAAAAGTAAATTGCGTTTGAACTTGGATCCGATCATGAATGTGGCCGATGACACAAGAAATGTGCCGCGAGTTTGACGGACTTTGAGAAGTCGCAGTTTTGAATCCTATTCTTCGATTATTCGTGAAGTAGTGGTGGACTCAGTAGTTTGTACTCTGTCATCTCTAAGTATACAATGCAGGGTGAGGCGGACTAAAATGGTATAGCCCTTCCGTCTCAACTACATTTCTTGGATGAAGTTGTCTTGTCACATCAAGAGTTCGTTACAACATCAATTTTAGACAATATTTTAAGTTTCAATCTCTCAGGAAGTGGTAGCAACTCGATTTCTCAATGGAACATCCTGTGTATCACTCCATATCCGTCATATTATTCACTAAGGCTTCACCGTTGTCGTTCGAAATAAAAACCTATAGTTAGTAGGCGTGAGGTATGTTATTGTCTGTCTGTCTGTCAATGGCGCTAGTTTACTGAAAACATCGAGAGATCATTTGCTTCAATAGAATATTCCTCAAAATGAAAAATCTGCCCAAAATCTCTGAAACGGACAAGCCTAAAGGTAAATTGCGTTTGGACTTGGATCCGTTCATGAACGTGGACGAGGTCACAAGAAATGTGCCGCGAGTTTGACGGACTTTGAGTGGGCGCAGTTTTGAATCCTATTCTTCGATTATTTGTGATGTGGTGGACTCAGTAGTTTGTACTATGTCATCTCTGAGTATACAATGCAGGGTGAGGCAGACTAAAATAGTATACCCCTTCCGTCTCAACTACATTTCTTGGATGAAGTTGTTGAACTTGTCACATCAAGAGTTGGTTACAACATCAATTTTAAACAATATTTTAAGTTTCAATCTCTGAGGAAGTGGTAGCAACTTGATTTTTCAAAGGAACATCCTGTGTATCACTCCATATCCGTCATAATATTCATTAAGGCTTCATCGTTGTCCTTCGAAATAAAAACCTATAGTTAGTAGGCGAGAGGTAAGTTATTGTCTGTCTGTGAATGACGCTAGTTTACTGAAAACATCGAAAGATCATTTGCTTCAATAGAATATTCCTCAAAATGAAAAATCTGCCCAAAATCTCCGAAACTGACACGCCGAAAGGTAAATTGCGTTTGAACTTGGATCCGATCATGAATGTGGCCGATGACACAAGAAATGTGCCGCGAGTTTGACGGACTTTGAGTGGTCGCAGTCTTAAATCCTATTCTTCGATTATTCGTGAAGTAGTGGGTAGTTTGTACTATGTCATCTCTGAGTATATAATACAGGTTGTCAACTACATTTCTTGGATGAAGTTGTTGATCTTGTCACATTAAGAGTTGGTTACAACATCAATATTAGACAATATTTCAAGTTTCAATCTCTCAGGAAGTGGTTGCAGCTCAATTTTCGAATGGAATACCCTGTGTATCACTCCTTCACCGTTGTCGTTCGAAATAAAAACCTATAGTTAGTAGGCGAGAGGTATAAAATATTATCTGTCTATCAATGGCGCTAGTTTACTGAAAACGAGAGCTAATTTGCTTCAATGGAATATTCGTCAAGATGTGCACGAAAAAGACATGACTAAAGGTAAATTGCGTTTTGATTTCGATCTGAAGAAGATCACAAGAAATGTGTCACGGGTTTGACGGACTTTGAGCTGTTGCAGTTTTGTATCCTATTTCTCGATTATTTGTGAAGTCGTGGAGTACTACAACGTTGAAGGACCAAGTAGTTTGTACTACGTCATCTTGCAGTATACAATGCAGAGTGAGGCAGACTGAAATGGTATTGCTGTTTCCAGGGAAGACCACTGAGGGATGAAATCCGTTTCACCTCTTTCAATCGATGAATTATGATTTACCTCTAATGTACAATCAATATTTTTAGTTGAAGTTGAAGAGAATCGAATCTATAGCATTTTGAAATCAGCAGGGGGAGCCGTGACGTATTAGTCCCGAACTGAAGCTATCTCTCTCTGATACCTTGTGTTGCAGTGTGATTGGTCAGCTCAAGGCGTGTTTGGGAATAATACGTCACACCAGTCACATCAATGAATTGGCACCATTTCAAATGGCACAGGGCGTGTGTGTTTTGAAACGAACATATTCGAATTTATTTTTTCATCGTCCTAGTATGAATAAATAAATTCAAAATTATATTTACTGGTATTTTTTGGTATAGAGCTCACGATGATGTTGTTTTGAACCCGTTCCTTGTTGTGGATGATTTGTGTCAATATTTCAAATTCATGGACCAATTGTTGCCCTGAGTGAATATTCTCACTCATATAATAGAGGATATGACACGAGTGTTTCGAGAATTAGATAAAAAATTTAGTTTTTTTGCAGACACATGTTTTATCAAAGATCTGAATCAAATATGTCACCACGATGTCTTAGTGAGGTTCTGAAATATTAGAAAGGTTCCCATCATTGCTATTTATCAAACGGTATATCTGGAAATTGAAAATATACAATCTTTCATCCATATTTATGTGTTAAATAGCGACTTTCGATGAGCAAAATTTGAGAATTTCATTTCGAAAAATGTAGAAAAAAAGTGGTGTAACATGATGTCTGTCTTAACCTGTATAGAAATTGCCGAATTGCCCCACGAGAATGTTAGGGAAATATTAGTTACAATTAATAATTAATGTTGAATTTAGAGGACCGGTATACCATCCGGTATGCACACAAATGTGATATGGGTTTCGATGATACAGTGACAGGCAAAAAGTCTGTAACATATGGAAAAATTCAACTTTGAAAACTTTTTCGGAAGTGAATCGGAAAATATCGAATACATATTATTTCAAATCAATTTATAAAACGCCAATATACAGGGTGTCCCTAAAAGGTATTTAGAGATATGTAACACATATTCCTCAGACCAAAACATTTCTATACACGCCAACTTACCTCAGCACAAAGATGCTTAGTTTGGGCGCTAGACGGTTCTGAAGCTACAATTTTGAAATCGTTTTTGCTACATAACTTCGAAACTGATCATGAGATTTCACTCAAGATACGAAGGCATAGCTTCATTAGGCAATGAAACCCATATCATGATTATGATAAATACCATTCCATGGGCGTAGAACTTGTTTTTTTCAATAAATAAACATCTGAAACTCCTACGGCAAAAAGGGGTTCGAATTTAAAATTTGGATTCTGTAACTAATTTACTACAAAACAGGTACTCCTGATGAAATTCCAATACTCTCATGGTTTTGACAAAATTTGAATTTTAGTAATTCAAAGCATCAGTTAACATTAAAACGATCAACAGATATGTCATGAAAATTTGTCAAAATGTCAAAATCATTATAACGTATACAAAGATTTAAACGACGAAAAAAATGGATATAAGCAAATTCACCTCAGTACATAGTTGTTCAGTCTGATGGCTTACTCAGTGCAAAAAAATTACAAAAAATAGCTGAGCACATTTCAACCTCTTTTGTCGTATACGTGGAAATGATGAAAATCTTGAACAAGTTTTATGAATTTTATTTCTCTTGTAGTAAACAAATAACGCAATCCAAATTTCATATTCAAACCCTTTTCGGCCCATTGGCGTAGAAGTTCATATCTTTATTTACTGAAGAAATCAAGTTCCACGCCGATATTCAACAGACTCATGCCAAAGCTATGCCAACGTACCAAATTTGAGTGAAATCGAATTAGCCGTTTCAAAGTTGAGAAGCAAAAACGATATGAAAATTGTAATTTCAGAGCCGTCTATGGTCCAAACTGAGCAACTTTGTACTGAGGTAAATTTTCTTGTGTGGGATCGTTTTGATCTGAGGAATATGTGGTAAGTTTCTGTAAAGACCTTTTAGGAACACCGTGTATAACTTAACAGATGGATTTTTACTATTCTTGCAAGTTTTTTGCCTGTTCTGGTACTTAGGTGAACGTGTTGGTTTTTTTATCAATCACTCTATAGGGATCTACAATTGGCGACTCAATTTTTTTCACTCGGACCTCTAGTGGCAGAATTTAAGGCATGATACTTGACCACTGACACTAATGGTATACAGTGTCATTACCAAATAATACCCCAAGAATGACTAAAGCCTACTGGGCATTTTTCACGAAAGAACAAATACTTTTATGAATTTAGGTACATTTGCGACCCATAAATCTCAAGTACCGATAATAATGATAAATCATTTTTAAATGCGCCCCTTTAAGAGGGTTTCGTTCCGTTATAGAACATTTGCCGACTTATGTTAACTAATTTGCAGTTTTCTTCCTTTTTTTAACACTTGATTTTCCTTGGTAGACTGTTTTATCAATATTTTCAGTCTCATTGTTTCAATAAAAATATCGTTTTGTCAGTAACAAATCAGACTATATTTTATCATCGTGAATTATAAAGACAATTGATACTATCAACTTCAAAACCCTGTCAAACATGCGTCGAAAACATTTGAAAAACATGGAAGCGTGAAGAATCGGGAAACCAGGGTGAAACTACGTAAAACAATGTAAAAAAAGTCTCACGCATGATCCACGAACGACAAAAACGTAAAACAATTATTGGAGCGTGGAAAAAACGTGGAATAAGGGTTCATACGTGAAAAAAGCATGCAAAACTCTAAAAAAACGTCACGTCAATAAGATTGAATGATTTTATGTCCTCCGAGCTACTTCCATATTTCTCTAAGTTATCGATGAACCTTTTTTGTCATCATGACAGCATAAACAGGGTGATCATAAAAAACAAGTGATGCTTTTAACTTCAACAATCTGTATCTCGAAAACAAGAACAAATGTTTGTTTTTTTTTCATAAAATATATGGAATTGAATTTATTCGCAATTATTCATTATAACCTCACTTCATGACACTCACGTCAGAGTTTTGTCACAGAACGTGAAGTTTAGTTTTTCGGCAGTTTCATAATTATGCCACTACAGCTGCTCGAGTGGATTTCGCCTCGCCAATATACTCACATAAAAAGTCATAATGTAGAAAAAATTCGCCTTCGAAAAAATATATACTCTACCATGCAAGATAACTGCTTGATAATACAATAATTACTAGTATTAGAATGTATATTGAATGGTAGAAGAGATGTGGTTCCCTGTTTATTATTGTATCCAACTGAGATTAACTATGAAGGTGTATCAGACATTTTTTAGTAAGTTTGATGAAATTGATATGAATGGATAAGGAAATGATTTTATTGGAAGTATGTGACAAAACAGATAGGCATTGATTTTGGTTCGTAGTGACCACCTAGCTAATAACAATGTTTGCATGATTTATCTGTATGAACGGCGTCAAGTGATAATTATTAATACTTTTTTAGATAGATATTTCTGGGCTGTGAGAGAGCTGAATTAACAAATAATTGATAACAACAAGAGTTAACACCTTATGAAAACTAGAAAACGTTTAATTTATGAAATACTTGAAAAATGCAGTGTTGAGGAAAATAATTCTATTCTAATCGTTGGTGTACGAGAAAAGAATAAGGAAAATCTCATTCCAAACAGGAATAAAAATTTCTGAAATATCAATAGAAATGTTTCCATGTGATGCTGATTTCCTGTCTGTCACTGTGTAAATGTTAACTGTGGCATGTGAATTCAGTTCTCATCCATTCCAGAAATCTATAGAAGTAAAATTTCAATGTACTGTGATTCTATTATTGCGATTCTTGAAAACATAGATGTTAAATTAAGAAATATTCAAATTGTAGGAATAACACTGGTGCAGGGTTTGTTAATATACATGAAATATATATAAATATCAATGAAGACCAAGGACTCGAAAGCAACATCAACGAAATTAGAATTCCATTTGCATTTAGGATTTTTGGAAAAGTTTTCTCTGTTCCTGTCAACAATATCATGAGTAATATCATGATACATTTCGAAATTTTATTGAAGTTGCTATGTTATTGATGTGTTCCATATTATACGATTTTGATAGTCATTTTTAATTATTCAACCTACTGCGCATTATTGATTCTAGATAGGTTTTATTTATAAATAGTAGGAATTTTTTCAATTGCTTGAAAATATTGTTCACAATGATATATCTTATGAATCATTAGTGATAACTTTTATTGATATACTACCTAGATTACCTAGAATTCCAAATTTACATTGTACCCTACCTAAGAAATTAATGCATCACCATAAATTCATCAATATTTTGATCTAGTGTTTGAAAAAACAATTGAAATATACTGGATGTTTCAAAAAA